ATCAGCACAAACAACACATTGATCTATGTTTCTTTTTTTCAGCAGTAGAGATTATTTCCAACAAGAAATCAGGCTTTTTTTTTTTTTTTTTTTGGAGGATTAGAGCTACTTTCACAGTGTTTTAAAAACTTAGAATAATTCCACATGCCATTTTTAAATGCAGTATGGTGTGGGTTCCCTCTTCCCCACATGGAGTTATTATTGTAGTAGAGGGGATATATATAACTTACTAACATCCAAAACGTTATAAAAGCAAAATGATAGTATTATTTAAAAACCTCAGGAGAAAAGATGTGGCATCCATTTTATTGTCTTTAAAGAGCAGAAATGTCATATCACTAAAGTAAAATAATCATGATCAGCAGTTGAAAAATTTAAAGCAAACAACAACAACAACAAAAAAGAAGGCATGAAATCTGCCTGGAGGACCATAAACTATTAAACTTGTTTACAGCACTATATGGAAAATGGGGAAAAGTTGAGTTGAAAAATGGTATAACTGTAGAAATCAATGGGGGTTTTATGGTTTTGCTTTAAGAAGAAAGTTGTGTTCATTTTCCCAATTGCATATCTTCTTAGTTTACTGATATCTTCTTTTATCCATTGGTCGATGAAGACATTATTAATATTTCTATGAATATATGTAGAATTTGTAATAAATGGGTTAGGGAAAAAGCATCTGATAGCAGCATATTTACTTCTGTAAGTTTTACTTTTTAAAATTATGTTTGAGCCTTTATCTATGCATTTATCCTTTTAGAGTTTCTCATAAAAGTCAGATATTACCTCTTGCCATCTCTTAAACTCTGTAAGTTCTGCTCATGAAAATCAAATTAGGCTTTTCTTGAGCACCCTATTTAAAATTGCTAGTTGCTCATCCCACTCCAGATACCCTTTAACCTAAGTTGCTCCCATTACCCTAAGCATCTTGCACATATGAAATAATTCATGTATTTATTATGTTTACTGCTTGTTTTCATCTCACTCTGCATAAGAGAATTGACTCTCATTTATTATGGTTTTTGATGTATGCCAAACACCTAGAAAGGTACCTGTGCCTGATGAATTAATGAATGAAAGAATGAACTTCTAGTGATAATAATAGCTAAAAATTACTACGTGATCTTCTATGTACTAAGCATTGTTTTAATGACTACCTATGTATAAATTCATCTATTCTTCAGAACACCCCATGAGGTCAGTGCTGTTATAATCCTTATTAAACAAATGAGAAAATTAAGCCACATAGAAGTGACGCGACTTGATTGTCACTTAGCTAGTTGGGTTATATGACTAGTAAGTGGCAAAATTGGAGTAGAAACGCAGTCTGTCCTGCTTCTGAGGTCATGATCTTACTCATTAAACTAAACTGAACCTATACTTATGCGGAAAAATTGTATTTTCATAAATAAATAGCTCTCAGTATTTTTAATGTCTCAACACACATGAAGGATTATGCCCCATACATCTTTAAAATAATGCTTTTTCTAAGGGAGGCTGGAGAGGTAAGGATGAGGATTGTTGGCAGTTTTCTACAGGCTAGCTGTAAAGCATCCACTTTCTAACCAGCCACTGTCACCACTCTTGACAACCACCACCTTCGTTTGACTTTGGAAAAAGTTTCCAACCTCTCAAGATGTCAGTTTTCTCATTCTAAAATGTGGATTCTGGAATATAAGCTATCAAATGTCTTTCTCTGTCCTAGTTCCATGGTTCTATAAATTGAATTCTATGCTCAGATGTAAAGGGAAAGTATTGACAGCAGAAAGAGAGAAGAGCCTTTTCCTGTACCAAATGCTGGTCAAGTCCTTTTTCTATTTGAACTTTAGTAGAAACTGCACAGGGTTTCTTAATAAAATAGAAATTAAATGGAAGTTGAAAAAGAGATTGAAGATAGAAAAATAAAGCCTTTTCCAGAATCCAAAATGGCCTTTGGATTTTTGCTGCAGCACTAGGCTTTTTTGAGCAGACCCATGAAATTTTTACTTCTTTGGCATACTTGACAATGGATAGTCAACATTCATTTTAGAACGCAAGTTTTTTTTATATTGTTTTTCTGTTCATTAGGTGATTTTTCCCCTTCAACCCTCACAATGGGGACATAATTTCTGGCTCAAATGCTCTGCCTTATCTTTCTACACTCAGGGAGATTGTTTCTTTCCCAGATTTTATAATCATTATAATATTAATCATATCAAAATCTGATCAATGGTTACTTAACTATACTATCACCTTAAATAAATAAAATCTCAAAATATCTACATGTCATTGGGACCTTTATATTCTGTTATCGAAAAGTAAGATAGTACAGCCTCTTTGGAAGTCAGTCTGACAGTTTCTCAAAAGGTTACCCATAGCATTACCATATGACACAGTAACTCCACTCATGAATATATATCCAAGAAAGATGCACATAAAAATTTGAACATGAAGGCTCAAAACAGCATTGTTGGCAATAGTCAAGAAGTGGAAATGATTCTAAATGTTCATGAATTGATGTATGGATAAATTAAATGTAGTATGTCTATGCAATGAAATATTATTTAGGAAAAGGAGTAAAGTACTACTTTGTGCTACAACAATGGATGAGTGTTTTTAAGTTACATTGAGTGAAAGAAGCTTATCACAAAATATACAAACACATATTTTATAATTTCATTCGTATGAAAAATCCCGAATAGCCAGATCTACAGAGACAAAAGGTAGATTAATGGCTGCCTAGAGCTGAGATGGCTTGGGAGGAAATGAGGAGCAACTGCTGATGAACTTAAGGACTTTTTTTGTTTTGATTAAAAGGTTCTAAAATTGGTTGTGGTGGTGGTTGCATAACTCTGTGAATATATTGAAAACTATTGAATTGTATACTTAAAATGGGTGATTTTTATGATATGTGAATTATGCTTTATTAAGATATATGTATGGATGTATGTCTGTTGGTGTGGGCATATATATATATATATATATATATATATATATATATATATATACACACACACACACACACACATATATATAATCTCCATACAAATGTATCATTTTACCTAGGGTAAATATAATCAAAACTAATTAACAAGCTACTCCCCCATTTTGCTATTGCCACTATTCTTTGGTTTTAAAATGTGCATGTATTAACGAAGCATATAGTGACGGTGGTTAGGTTAAAGGAAATTATGTATGTATGAGTGTTTTGTGGTTATTGTCATAGGTGATGAAAGCTATGTTCCAGTATTAAACAGAAAATCAGTATTATTCTATATGCTAAGACTTTTGAGCCAGTATAAAGTAAATGGTTTTTTTTGTTTGTTTGTTTGTTTTTGTTTTTGTTTTTGTTTTTTTGTATTTACAAGATCTATGAAGTTTCAAACCAATCTATATGTAATGACACAGGACCTTAAAAATAGAAATGTATTTGTAACCAATATATTGCATAGATAAACAGGTGGTTTTATAATTAAGATTATCTGAACTTCTTAATAAACTCTATTGAACATGAACTGCTAACAGTACACAATTGGTGTCTTATTTCTTTTTATAATAATGTTTTTAGTATTCCACTGAAACATGGCCAGTAAATGTGCAATATTCTTAGTTACCATTATGAGGGACTCTGTATATTACAGTCTCTCCACTGTCTCTGCTGTTAGCTGGAAAAATGCTGGGAGCAACGGCAGCTACAATCAACAGGGAGCCATATTAATTATTTGAAATGTGCCTCATAAGAGGAATCAGCAGAGTTTATTACAAGTTGAATATTACTTGAAATGGGAAGGTTACTCCAACTGTTATCATAATCTATGTATCATTAACTTTCCTTGTTTAGGAAAAGAGATTAACAACCCTGTAAATTGCTATAGGAAATGTGTAAAATATACAACTGCATATTCCCATTGTAGAAAGAAAGTAGTGAGTCCTCCACTCCCACTCAAATCTTCTGTATATAAAGTAGCTTTAGAAATTGAACTGACTCTATAATTATGCTTCCTTGCCTCAAAATCCTATTTGTGTATTATTATCAGTATACATACTATGGCTACTTTGAGCATTAGATGATTCTTTTATATTTAAACTAACACTTTTTCAAATCAGCATCTTGGCCTTAAAATTAACTTTACCTCTTTCATCTCATAAGACAGAAAGTATATTACAAATATATATGTTAGCTAATAGAATGTTTTGCAAGGAACACAGAATTAATCTAGCTACTTGCTCTTTAAATTATGGTTAGTCGTTTTTTCATTAAATACAGATAGGCATACTTTTGTACTCAAGTAGTGGAGGTGAATCTTAAAGGTAAAATAAAAATCAATCATAATTGTAAAATGATCTAGATAAACATTTCTCAAAGTGTTATTTGTACATTGGATACCAGTCTGCAGACTGTTTTATTACTGAGCTGCACTGAAGTAGATGCAGATACTGAGAGAGTTTAGAAATACTTACAGTAAATAAATAGACCAGATAATATTTATTTAATCTAACAACAAAAAATAAGGATTTTATTTTATATGTCTTATCTTTGATTTTTTTTTTTTTACTTTTCCTTATAACTAATTTTTATTGTGGTTTTAACATTATCACTCCACAACAAATTTGTAATGAAACAATAACAAAGAAGAAGAAGAAGAAGAAGAAGAAGAAGAAGAAGAAGAAGAAGAAGAAGAAGAAGAAGAAGAAGAAGAAGCAGCAGCAGCAGCAGCAGCAGCAGCAGCAGCGGAAGAGAAAGCGGAAGAGGAAGAGGAAGAAGAAATAAGGAGAAGGAGAAGAAGGAGAAGAAGAAGAAGAAACAACTCAGATTATTAGAGAAGCACTGCTTTAATTGAGTGATGTTTGGATGACACGTTGTTTTTATGTTTGGGCAGATATGTCTACACTCTATAATTTATGCTACTATTTTAGTTTGGAGTGAGTGAGATAATTTGATATCATAAAAACATTTTTTAAAGGGGAAAGATATACCCACGATGTCTTCTTATCAAATTTTTTTTTTTTTGGATCCACAGGGCAGGCACATCATGGACAAGTTTCATACATTTCTCCACCAATTCACCTTGACTCTGAGCTAGAAAGACCGTCTGTTAAAGGTAAGTTTTCTTTATGTAAAGAAAAAGTAACTACTCATTGTTTGATGAAAGCAGTGAATCAATTAAAGATGGTTGTACACATGTATGTTGTAATACAGTGTCTGTTCAAAAAGCAGGGGTAAAATGAAGTATGTGAGTAATCTGCAGCTAAGATTTATAAACAAAAATGTGAAATATTTCTCCAAGAAATGTTTGTAAATCAAAATGCAATGGCTTTAATAAATGAGTATTTATAGAGATTCAACTAGTGGAGGACTAGTTGAATACCAATTTAGATTTAGAAATTACCAGATAACCATTACTTTTTTAGTGGGACTCTATTTTTCTACTATCCTTTTTTTTTTTTTTTTTTTTTACATTAAGATATATTAATCGAGTGACATTGACAGATTTTTTTCACCTTAAAATTATATTTTATTATTATTCTTTTTAAGCCATTTTTGCATTAACATTATTTAGTTTTAAATATATGTATTAAAATTATGTATTTTTAAATTGATACCACCTGTTTTAGAGAATTTTGTAAATAATCATACAAAATAAAAATTAAAGGTAACATTTACTGTCTCGTAATCCAAATACAAATTTAATCCTTGTGCTTTTAAATAAATATTTATCAATGATTTTCAAAATAATTCTTAGTTCTCAAAGCTGATATGTGGACATGCCTTTTAATTTTGTAAATAGCAAATATTACAAGGTTGACTTTTCGGTTTTAAGTAATGCAGTATATTTTCTTATATTTTCAACAGTATTCATTACTTAAGAAAATAAAACTGACTTTTATGAACATGTTTTCTGTATAGGCTATTTTCTCTCTTAGGAGTTTCTTATCTCTTCTTGTCTAATTAATATGTTTCTACCTATGTTTCAAGGCCCTGCTTTATGTTAGTTTCTCTGTTAAGTTTTCCCTGACTGTGTGATAGGGTGGACCTATGTGCATATGTCAGTTTTCCAAATGCCCCCTGTGCTTGCCTCAGTTATTAAACAACTAAGACATTGGATTTTATTTTGTGGTACACATGTTCCTTTCCCTTATCGGTATGCTCCTTGAGGGCACAGAGTGGCACACTTGTTATTTTTCCCCAAGTCATTGGTCTGTGCTTTGCACTTCATGGAAACTCATTCAATATTTCTAAGACACTGACAGTGAAGGTGACAGCCTAGATCCCAAAGGATGCATCTGCACTTTATTAGAGAAAAAGGGAGGAGAAATGATACACGAATCCCATGAAGAGGAAGAAAAATGAGACAAAACATAAATATGTGAAGGATTTTTAAAGAAATGTGCTGAATGCACAGTAAAAGGGGAGCGGTTCTAGAGGGAAAGACTCGAGAAGGTAGCAAGGCAGATTGTGGTGGATTCTGTATCCCATACCAAAGACTCTGTTTTATCCCAGATAAAAACAGGAAATATTTTAAATTATTTTTCCCCATGTCAGTTGGATGTTACATCATAACATTATCAGTTCTAGATATGAGAAACATATTTCTGGTGTTAGTGTAGGTGATGAGCTGATTGGAGAAGAGATTGGCAGAAGGAGGCTTTTCAGCAGTTCAGATAAAAGATGATGGGGAAATTAGGAGAGTGTCCCTGGCAATGTGAGGATCTGATAAATATTTTGAAGAGACATGACATTTGAATGAATAGATACAGGGAAAGGGGCAGAAATGCTCTGTGGTTTCTATATTGATTAACTGCTTGGATGCTGCTATGGTTTGAACGTTTGTATCCCTGCCAAAATTCATATTGAAAGTTAATCCTCAGTGCAGCCGTATTAGTATTAAAAGGTAGACCTTTAGAAGGTGATTAGGCCATGAGGGCAATGCCCTAATGAGTGGATTAATGGCCTTATAAAAGGGCTAGAGGAAAGTAGATAGGTTCTTTTTTGCTCTTATGCCTTCTCTAATGTGAGGACACAGCAGGAGGCACCATCTTGGAAACAGAGAGCAGCCCTCACCAGACACTGAATCTTCCAGTCCCTAATCATGGGCTTCACAGCCTCCAGAGCTGCAAGAAAATAAATTCCCATTCTTTATAAATTATGCCATCTCAGGTATTTTGTTATAGCAGCAAAAATGGACTGAGATAGATGCTTATGACATAATTGCTCATCATGAGAAATAGATAGGAATTATAAATCAATGCATTGCCTTAGACACATTAATTCTTGGTAGAATGTTCCTACCAAACTTGAAAGATAGAGTCTTACTTATGCAAATTAGTGACTTCGTAGAATTCAGTTCTTCATACATGATCCCAATATGATTTGAGAGAGTACTACTTTAAGATCATGGATAAGATAGTATAATGATCTACTTCAAAATTTAGTGACTTAAAACAAGCAATATTTATTCTGGTTTTGAGAGTTGGTTGATGTCTACTGACTTAGCTGGGGCTGAATATTTTATAGTTAACAGGCTGATTGGTTTTGCAGAGGAAGTGACTCATTCACATTTTTGAAAATTGCCTTGATGTCTCTGGGGTGATGGCCACATGTCTCTCTCATCATTCAGCAGGTTGCTGTCATGTTCCTTGATGTCCCATTAGCCAAAGCAAGTCACAAAGCAAACTCAATTTAATAGAGCAGAAATAGATTGTATCACTTGATTGAGGAGCCACACTTCAAAGAACCATGAATAAAAGAAGAAGAATTAGAACAATTTATAAATTACCATAGGTAGTCATATAAGAAGTAAAATAAATATAAAATCAACAAGACAAAAAAGTGACTGATAATGGGATTTGGAAGCCAATAAATGGCCAGGCGCAGTCGCTCACACTTGTAGTTCCAACTGATGGTGGTGGTGACCTGTCCGAAGCAGCCACTCAGGGGATGCCTGCTACAGCAGGGGAGGTGCAACTGGGGCTGCATGCTCTGCAGAGCTGATAGGGGCTGGGAACAGCTGCCCCCTACCGAGTTAAAGGGGCAGGAACCCTGCATCACTGGGTGTAGCTTTAACTTCCTAGTGGCAGCTCCAGACCCAGCCATCCCTGAGCTCTCAGGGGCCCAGGAAGCCCTCGCTGCCACTCCAAGCTTGGAAGTGCCTGATCCTGCTCCCAGGCCTCTCCCTGCTACTGGTACTCACTCCGATTTCAGAGCAAAGTTGAAGCTGGGTGTGGGTACTGTTTCAACCTGACTGAGTGTGCATGTGCTTGGGGTGGTGCTGACATGCCAGCCCTCCTCCACCGCCTTGGCCTCCTCTGAAACTTTGAGCAGTGACAAGCTCAGGGAGGGAAGCCCAGGTTTGGGGTACTGAGGGAAGCTTAGCACAGGCCTGCAAATGCCCCCAGTCATGAACAGCCTGGGCAACATGGATGGCATGATGAAGGCAGGTTCCTGGGCTGAAAGAGTCAGGTCACTAGTTTAAACCCCACTGTCAAGGAAGGCATGGCCTGAATCCTGAGGGCTGGGCTACCAGTTCAGGGTATAGTCTGTAGCCTGGAGTGAGAACTTATGGTGCTTTTTTCAAGCCATGGCTAGCACAGCTGGTATGCAGGGCACCAAGTCCCTAGGCTGTACAGAGCAGCAGTAACCTGGGCCAGGCCCATGAAACCATTTTTTTTTTTTTTTTTTTTTTTTTTTCCTCTAGGCCTCTACTCCTGTAATGGGAGGGCCTGCTATGAAGGTGCCTAACATACCCTGAAGACGTTTTCCCCATTGTCATGGTGATTAACATTTGGCTCCTCCTTACTTAAGCAAATTTCTGCAACAGGTTTGAATTTCTTCTAAGAAAATGGGTTTTTCTTTTCTATTGAATTGTCAGGCAAAAAAAATCTGAACTTTTATGCTGTTTCCTTTTTAAAACTTAATGCTTTTAACAGCGCCCAAGTCACACCTTGAATGCTTTGCTGCTTAGAAATTTCTTCTGCCAGATACCCTAAATCATCTCCCTTAAGCTCAGATCCACAGATGTCTAGCATAGGGGCAAAATGCCACCAGTCTCTTTGCTAAAACATAGCAAGAGTCACTTTCACTGCAGTTCCCAACAAGTTCCTCATCTCCATCTGAGACCATCTCATTATGAATTTCATTGTCCATATCATTATCAGCATTTTGGTCAAAGTCATTCAACAAGTCTCTAGGAAGTTCAACACTTTCCCACATTTTTCTGTCTTCTTTTGAGCCCTCCAAATTGTTCCAACCTCTGCCTGTTACCCAGTTCCAAGTTTGTTTTCACATTTTCAGTATCTACAGCAGCACCCCACTCTACCAGTACCAGACTGTACTAGTCCATTCTCACACTGCTAATAAAGACATACCCAAGACCAAGATTTTATAATTTAAAAGGAAAGGCGGTTTAATGGACTCACAGTTGCATGTAGCTGGGGAGGCCTCACAATCATGGTGGAAGCCAAAAGGCACATCTTATATGGTGGCAGAGGAGAAAGAATGAGAGAACCAAGCAAAAAGGGAAACCCCTTATAAAATCATCAGATTTCGTGAGACGTATTCACTACTACCAGAACATTATGGGGAAAACTGCTCTCCATGATTCAATTATCTCCCACTGTGTCCCTCCCACAACACATGAGAATTATGGGAGCTAGAGTTCAAGACAAGATTTGGGTAAGGACACAGCCAAACCATATCACTCACCCTCCAGTTGTCTGCATACCTCATTCTTCCTGGCTGTGGAACAGGAACTTGGGACCCTCCAGACAGTGGGACTAAAAGAGCTATAACACAAACAGGGCTGAAACATGCCCCACCGCTTCCCATGTTGTGGGTGACAAGGAGAGAAGAGATGCAGCCCTTCAAGGAGCCCAGACCTAGGGGTTTTCCAGGCCAGGGTTATGATACCTACTTTTGGGTTCTGCAATTCCTAGCATCTCCAACATTCCAGGCACCACTGCATTCCACTCATCCAGATGCAGGTGCCCACAGCAGAAGCTGTGTAAGGTACATCTAGTTCAGCCACAGCCTCTCATGGAGTTGGCACCTGCACCAGCACCTAGAGCTGCCCAACCCATCACAGCAGCTGGTAAACCTAGTTGT